TTAAATAAATCGAAAATGATTCTATAACTAAGTTAAACCAATACACGACCACTGTCAACATACTTGATATTGTATAACGCCAACATTTAAACTCAAAACAGACTGAAAGAAATAAAAAAAAAAAAAAAAAAAAAAAAAAATTCTCACTGGCTATCATCGTTTTAATGCGGTCTGCTTAATCAGCTGATGCCTGATAATATATTTTTTTTTTTTTTCATTATAGTGTATAATAAATGATGAGAAAGGCAGAAAAAAATGTATATTTATATAATGACATTAATAAACACTAAAAATAAATTTTTTATTTAAATTAAAAATATAATATAAAAAAATAAAATATATAAAAAATAAAATATATACAAAAAAAAAAAAAAAAAAAGAGCAAATATACAAATAAAAAAAACATATATATGGATAAAATACATAAGAGTTATACTACTAACTATTCGAAACAGTTCTTGCCGTTTATTATATTGATTTTTACAATTTTCGAGCAGATCACTCCTGAATGATTGGCCACTGCGTTACTCGCAAGGAATGATGTTGCATCATCAGCCAGTTTGGGCGCTTTACGAGGCTAATGAAAACCTTTGTGAAACCATAATTGAGGAAGCGGAAGCGGAAGCGGAAGCGAAGCGGAATTCTCACATATGATATCACACAAATTTCGTTCAGCATTTGCGTCTTTTGATTTGTTGTGGTGCACAACAATTAGGAAGATAACTTGAAAAATACGCTAGAACGTGAATGAAGCAATAAACCCATCTAACCTAACCTAACCTAACCTAACCTAAAATGTGCACATAGTAAACTGGGAAAGCGATGAAAGGTAATCAAATTGTGTGTCATCCTTCTATTTTTTTAGCTTTTACAGAACGACATAAAATATGTCGATCATCGAGAATCGTAATTATTTAAGAATACTTCAGAAAGAATTAAGAGATGAAAACAAACGCTTTCAACTGTCCAACTGTACCCAAGCGAAATAAAGAATTATTTACTATTGCAACACACTTTGTAATGAGAGGTTATGGTTATGTTTCATCTTCGTATTCGTCCGGTCAAGTGTACATTCGTCTTATCTATATCCAGCACGATACGATAGACGGTATACTCATTTTATCATAATCTTTACAACGCAGCAGAAAGAAGCTTCAGAGACCTTTATAAAGCGGATATGTATTCTTGGTCAGCATGAAATTAATTCTGAAAATATTAAGCAATGTCTGTCCGTCTGTGTGGTGTGTGTTATTGACACTCACCTGTTCGGTAGAAACATTGAAAGTTCTTGCACGCAGGAGGTTGGTATTGAAAATTCGCCAAAGTGGTCGGATCGGTGGCCGGCAGTGAAGGATAAACTGAACGCTGAACTGAAATTTATGGGTTGTAGCTCATTACGCAGTGCTAATGTTTCTAAGCAGTGTTAGTTTAATAAAGTAAAAAGTGAAAGATAAACATTGTCCGATTCATGTTTTTAACATTCTAAGGGCGATGACCCTAGAGACGAATATAACTTTCTTATTTGTCTTTAATACGACCAACCAACCATTCACTTAGGGGATGCTGTGCCCTATACATGGTCTGAAAGTAATTAGGAAAGCGAAAAAGTGACAAGGAATTGATGGCTGTAGCTTAGTATAGGTGTGCGCCCAAATGCGTAAGCGAGTCCTTACTATTATTTGCATGATATCAAGGTAAACTCTACCGCACTGAGATTTCAAGCCACAAACATTGACTTGATAGTCACGATTGTGGTGGCAGTTCGGCCATATATATTTATATACATGGGAGGGATAGACGAGATTGCAAACACATGTACGGCTCTTTCAAATTGAATTAGTTTTTATAAATATAGTCTCGTCAAGTTGTTAAAAAGTTTAAAAGAAAATAACGGCAAAAACTCTTTTGATTACCCTATTATAATATTAAATAAAATAATTAAATACGAATCGGATCGGTTTTCTTTTCAAAAAGTAATGTTTTGTTTTTCTTTCCTCTCTTTTTTTACTACATAACTCCTTAATAATCAATTGCCTCCATGAATTGTGCTTAAGTGGGAAGTGAGAAGTGGGAGAAAATTCAGTAATATTAGTACACAGAAAATTAGAGGAAAAATGAAAAGGGAATAGAATAAATAAAATTATTATATAAAATCAAAAATAAATAAATAAAAATTAAAACAAAAAGTTGAAAGAATAAAATAATTAATAAAACAATTTAATACAAACATATTGCACTTGATGACATGAACTTTGTTCCCTATATTACATTCCTGTTTACACATAATTAAACAACCGTCAGTGTATCGTTAGCTAGTTGAAAGTGAAGCACAATTTTAGGAGTAGGAAATTGATATAAATACTTTTAAAAAAATATCGCGTAATTTTAAAATGCTTAATAGAACGCGGCACTCGTAATCTTTTCATTCCTTCTTTTTTTTTTTCTTTCTCTGTCGGCTGTAAGAAGGCTTTTTCAAAGTGAATAAAAATGCGAGTTTTATTCGCTTTGGGGGAGCGAACATTTTCGATTTTCGATCTATCAACTATCCCAAATAATTGGAATTGTAGATGCAATAGTGCAGTGGCATACCGGACCGACTAAAATCAGTTTTCTAAACTTATTTCTCTTTTTAGGCAGAAGATCGTGAATGAGATAATTTCTGTTCTTTTCGCTTCGATCGCGCAAATATGTGGAGGGGTGGGCAGTCACCCCGACGTACTAAGAAAAAACATGAATTAAACATGAATTTGCCCCTTTGTTTACCACATTTGCGTACCAATTACAAACATTCATTTTTCATAGGCCCGAGAACACGATAAAGCTGTAAACGATTTAAATAAGTATTTCAAACGTGAAACGTTATACTTGAAATTAGTGCAAAACGAATTAACACTACAACCTTACTTGAAATCAACCGTTCATACCTACAAAGACCGGCACAACTTAGCAGATTTACAACGCTCCGTACAATTGCTGAGAACGAACACAAAAGCGCCCAACCATGTTGTCATATATTTCAGAGATTTCCAAAGGTCTTTGCGCGCAAAAAGCCGAGTTTCGCAAAAAAAAAAAAAAAAAAAATTGAAACGAGAATAAGTGGAAAAATGCAGCAAAAAATCTGTCCAAGTACCGAAAATGAAACTAAAGTTTCTACTACAACAAATTTCTTAAATGACTAGGAAAGGAAAAGCCCTTATAGTTTTAATTAAAACGCAAGGCAAGAGGAACGTGAATAAATAAAAGCAGGAGAGAAATGATGTAAACTTTTGAAAATTTGATGAATGCTAAAAAGCTAAAAAGGAATTTAGGTTCATTACGCATTTTCTCATGAAGCGAGAAAAGTGCAATAGATTTTTTCCAAGCAGTTACAAATAGAAGCTAACTTTGAACTTTGCTAAACACCACACTTGAACGAACGCTTAGCTAAAACTTTATTTAGAATACATTACATTATATTAAAAGTCTACAAATTTTCTGATCTTATGAAAAACAAAACATTACTTAAAAAAAAAAAAAACCCAATACGCGCGTGTTTGAACATAAACATTAAATATTAATCAAGTCATTAAAATTAGTTTAAAAAGAATTTTTATAAAATCTAAATATGTAAAAATAAAATAAGAACAAAAAAAAAAAAAAAAAAACGCAATTAACTTAAACCTTATTTATGGGATAATATGGGGGGTCTACAACCTATAAAAAAAAAATGTATCAACTGACTAAATAGTTGTTAAAAAAGTGTTTAAAAAAAAACGCATCTAATTATTATTTAATATTTATACTGTTAGAACTTTTATTAAAAATAAATGAAGTAGTGGTCGGGGAGTTTGATACACAAATGAATTTTTTTTTTTTTTTTTTTTCATGAATAACTCAGTATGAGTCAAACGTTTTCATAAAATTTACATAAAACATCCTTTTAAATAATTAAAGAAAGGAATAACAAAAATAAGTGGCCGTAGTTTTATATATATAAATATTGCAGACAATTCTAAAAATTTCAGTAGACACAGTTAAGTAAAAAACAAGTAATTTGAAAAAAACTCCCTTTCATAAAGTTATAAACTAATCTCAAAATAAAAATCCTATTACTTATATAAATAAATGTATGTATGTACATGTACATACATACATATAGTTAATCCACTATTTGAAATTCTCTTCATTGCTGTTATTGTTTGTTTTTCTAAAGAACATTTTGTTTAACATGTTTTCTAATTTCCTTCTATGCATTAATAATATAATATTATGTAAATTTTTTTATTCATGACTTACTAAAGAAAAAAAAAAATTTTTTTTATTTTTTAATGTATTAAGCTTGCAATCATTTTTTTCATTTTTTTTTTTTGTTGTTTTTGTTGTTGTTGCGTAAACAAAAGAAGAAGAAGAAGTCAGCAAAATAAATGTAGATATAAAAAATAAAATACTTCAATTTGAAAAAGAACAACAAAATGAATATTGTAAAAAACACAACATTGCTATAAAAAATAAAAAAAAATTAAAAACTCGGCAAACGAATTTGCCGTTGCTTTTGTTATAATTAGGTTGAATGAACAAAAAAATAATAATAATATCAATAATAATAATAATATCAATAATAATAATAATAATAATAATAATAATAATGATGATGATAATAATAATAAAAAAAGAAAAATGATATTGAAACGAATGGACAGGCAGAGAGAAAGAGAGAGAAGAAGCCGTAAATAAATGAGAATGTTGTTAAAAAAAAGTATCTAATAAATAAATTAGTAAAAAAGTTCATTATTTAAAGCAAATAATAATAAATAGCAATAGCTGGAGAAAATTGTTGGGAATAGTTATTAAGTAAGGTATGAAAGAATGAAAAGGGAAACGTGGGGAAAAGGAGGAGGAAGAGGAGGAGGAGGAGGAGGAGGAGGAGGAGTGTTGGTTGTTATTATATTATATATAAATTTTATATATTTTGTGTATATATGTATATTCATGTAAATGAGAATTAAGAAACGCGTCCTAACCTGCTTCACTGTCACTTGAATCGCTAGAAGTGCTATCGCTTGTAGAGGATGATGAGGAATCACTCGAACTTGAGCTTGAGGATTGGCGATTTGCTGGCTGAACAGCTTCGACTTTATTCGATGACTCGTCTATGAAACAAAAGTAAGAAAAAAAATTAATAAATTAGCGAAACATATTTAAGATAATTAAAAAACAGTAAAAAAAAAAAAAAAACAAACAACAACAAGAAGTAATAAACTATATATATATTTTTCTTACAGAGTGAGGTTATTTAAAATGCAACATCCATCCCCCCAACAATTTAAAAATAAAATTCCGATTAATCCCAATTTAAAATGGAAGATAAAATTCCAATTTCGAAAATTATATTAATTTTGAATCGAAAATCTATCTATATATGAATCTCTTGTCGAATAACGCATATAGAATGCATTTCGGATCTTATTTTTTATAACAAAGAGAGACGCAAGGCCTTCATTTAATCAAGTCTTGTCCAATGATTATGATTAACACGTTATGGACGGCGTGTACCACCAGCGGCTCACAAGCGAATACGTATGCGAAATAAGAAAAACTGCGCCGTTCTTAACGTGTTAATATTTCATTTGTAATTTGTCTAGAAAGCCAAAGTTGATCTGAACTCAATCGCTTACTTTGGATTAAGTTTCAAAATGAGGTGAGAGTCAAACACGTCTGTCCACACGGTACGAACTATTGTTACGACGAATGAAAATAAAATTTTTTATTCTATTATATTGCGGATTTAACCTGGAGATGGATATAAAAAAAAAAAATAATTCGATTTATACCGAACATAATTTTAAGTCGGTTTTTTTTTTATTTCAACTTGCAACTCGTACAGGGGCTGGATTACATGATATGAACATCAATTGGGTTCAATCAATATATGTTTTTAAATATTAATATAATTATTATTTTGAAATGTTTTACCTTTTTTGGCTGTCTTCTTGCTCGTACCCAAAACGCCACTAACATCTTGTAAACGTTTTTCTAATTCTTGTTTCTTTTCCGCCATTTGTTCATCTTTTGATTTGCCAGAGGGCTTTTTATCTAAAATTTATGGAACAAAATATTTTAGAAGAAAAATTTTTTTGTTTTTTTTTATTTTATTTTATTTTTATTTTTTTTGCGAATATTGAGAATGTAAAAATATAATATGTATTTTTTTTTTCGTTACTTTTATTTTTTTTACTTTAAAAAAAATAAATAAATAAATAAATGAAAAAAAAATAAAAAATAAAGACAAATTAATAATAATAAATAAAAAAAAATGTATATATATATTAAAATAGAAAAAAACACAGAATAATTAGTGTAAAGGAAAAACAACATGCTCCAATAATTTAAAAAGAATACATTTAGAAAAAATTTTTTCTCTCACAACACCAACACCACCCTCCTCCACCTCTACAATCAATCTTATTAAAATAAAAACATTTTATTATCAACGTAACTAAAACGAAATAAATTTGATACTCAAACACTCGCACAACCCTTAATAAATTTTGATTTAACTAATTATAATAATAAATAAATTTAAAAAAAAAAAAAAAAAAAAAAAAAAAAAAAAACTTAATTTTAAGAGTAATTATTACAAAAAGTTTTAAAAGCTACTCGGTCGTTCATGCCAATTTTGTTTTTTACGCTTTGTAGGAGAAAATTATTAAGAATTTTTTTTTTTTTTTTTTATGTACTTTTTTCAAGCTCTATAATAGTAAAGTTAAATATTATATAAATATGAAAAATAAAATTATTGTTTAGTTCATCCAATTAACACGGTCACTACTATTTCTTTATAATTTTTTTTTTTCTGCTTTTTTCTTTTATTTGTAAGAGAAAAATCAAAAAATATCACCTATCCTCAGATATATCTCTTAAGGCATTCTAAATACCATTTTGTTTTTTTTGTTTTTTCTGTTTTTTATATATGAAATCCTTTAACAAATCATACAAAAATTAATTATAAATCAAATTAGTAAGTCCTTGTAAAGTCATAAATGCAGCTAAGTTTTCAATGGAGTTTCGCTTATTAAAAATATCTTAAAATATCCGGCCCTTTTTTTTTTCTTTTTTTTTTTATGGCATGTGTCCTGATGTCCTTTGAATTTTCAACTTGGACATCTTATCGAATAAAGTATGCCTTGAATAATTTTTATGCTCTCGTCTTTATCTTATGTTGCAACAATTTTACATGCATAAGAGTCGCGTCGATAACTGAACAATGGGATCACTCGAATCGATTCGATAACCGCTCATTAGCAGAGAGAAAAAAAAAAGGAAATATTACGTCTTTAGATGAGAATGACGGTTAATTAGTGTGATTATCTGAACATGTTGATTAGATTCTCGGGTGGAGGATATCTTCTTTGCAATACATTTTACTGGGAACAAACTAACAGAATTGAAATTCTCCGTTCAATATGTTTTGAAAAAACACATATCACATTATAAAAGACACAAGTTATAAAATGAACGACTTAAAAAAAAAAAAAAAAAAAAAAAAAAAAAAAAACACAATTTAGATGCGTCCTTGAAGCTGGGGAGAATGACTCAGGAAATTTAATAATTCGATATCCACAACAAGTAGTTCATAATCTTACTTGGTGTTAACAACGAAACATCACTTCTCATACACGCCTAGCAATAGGCGACCGCGGCTTTGCAAGCATACGTCTCGTCTGACTTTTAATTAGAAAACTAATAAAAATGCAAACCCTTTTCCATTACTCTCAAGTATTAATACTTTATAAATCAATTGAAAATTTCCCTAAACCAATCGATTTACTGACTAAATATATAAAGTCATGATACGCAACAGCCTACGCATCTTACGCGCATATCTAAATTACATTAGCAAAGAAAGTGAAACAGTAGAATAGAAACGTTAGAAACGGAATATAAAAGATTGCTCTAGAAAGTGTTGAGCTAATTGACTGTATGGCCGTCTATTTGAGAGCTTAAATGTCAATTTTGATAAGGACACCTGTACAGGTAAAAAGGATTAAAAAAAAAAAAAAAAATTGAAAACACACCAGCGTATACAACGGATTGAATTCGATAATTTTTGACCTTCGAGTTTTCCATTTAATAATATTTTATTGATTTATTCAGCGTACGACAACGCTGATCATGTAGTGCTCAAAAATTCTTCGTCTTCCAGATTCATTACTTTCGTTATTTAATTGAAGAAATGTGATGCCAAAGTCCACCAGACATGTTCAGAGGCTTATGATTATACTGCTCTCCCCGGTTTTGCCGGTTTTGAACACGATTTGAGTGAAAATGCAATTTTTTGATCATTTGATACACTGTTCCAAATCGAATGGGTAGCCACCCACTTGTTCAAATCGGCGCAGTATGGCTTGACTGGCAAGCGTTTTCGAAATGCCGACTGAAAAAGTGCGAAAATGGGCCCTTGGGTGGATCACTACCAAACCAATATAAGTGCTTTCGACATGATCAATCGCCAGGTTGCCAAAAATGTTGTGGAAAATGATGGAAACTATTTCGATAAAGTTGTGTTGAAAAAGTGATCAAAATTTTTGCAAACATCTAATATAATAACAGGAACATGTATGACCTAAAGAAGTTAATATTCTGGATTTTCAAGCATTTAGACCTGACACGTCAGACACAATACTCATGAAGATCTCGTGTGTCATTGTGCTCATTGCCCATTTCTTCAGCTAATTGAAAGGGAAAGGAAAATTCTTCTACAATATATAATTCTCCAGTTGTATCCTTGTGTCAATATCCAGACATCGATGGTAGCCAAATCTAAAAGTGTTATAAAATAAGTGAAAAAGCCATTTACGGGATCCTGCTTCACAATTAGGTTTATTGTAAAATGGAATTGTTTGCCACGGACGTTCTATCTATCACATTTTTATGCTCAAAACTTGTCAATAATACATTTTTATTTGGTTTGGTTTATTGCCTGAACGTACATATTTGATTTCTGTAGAATATTCTTTTTATTCCTTGCAATCTCTCCCTGCCAATTGTTTTCTACATCCATGTAAAGTTCCCATAAAGGTTGTTTTCTTTTGGCGAACAATTCCTTTGAAGGAATTTTCAGCTTGAATAAAACATTATCGTCCAAAGATACGCCCAATGGTAATATGACTGTCCATTTATTAGATATTTGCTTCCAACAGAGACACCTCACAAACTTTATGCCCATTTATATCGGACTTATCTCGGCCTATATCATCGTATAAAACAATGTCTACCATTGCTTAGAAGCAATTGTTCGTCAATTGTAAGACTCGCGTCAGGCTTATAACAAGCCTGGCTGTTTCGATCGGTCTGTATATTGGAGAAATCAAAGCGAGATCAAATAGTGGCAAATAGAGGTCAAAGAGAATCCAACAAGCGTGAAATGGTATATAAATGCTTAACTCATCTCTCACCTATTTTTTCGTTAATTGTGGACATACTGTCGAACCGATCAAGACCATTTGCAAGCAAGTGGTTCGGTTCTGGCGAATAATTGAATGCAAGTTTTTTTTTTTTTTTCAAAATTATATTCGCGGAATGATAAGAGTTATGAACAGAAATGTGAAAAAATTGTCGTTGTTGCTTTTCAAAGTTGTTTTCGTTGTTTTTTTTTTTTTTTTACATTGTATAAGGGTCTATATGAACAAAATGTGTCCATATCTAATCGACCAAGGAATGTGCGTAAGTGCCAAATTTCAATTTCATAACTTTATTTCTACGCGACTGTGACGATTTAAAAAACTTATCCGCTAAATTTACGGGTGAAAATAATGTATTATTTATTAATCGTGGCTACATATATATATCTACAGTAAATCGTTTAGAATTATTTCCGCTCATAATATTTTAAAAAGATGCAATTTTTGCTGACATATCCGTAGCTTTGCACATCAAGTATAACAGTTTTTGGAAATTTCCAAATTCAATTTCTAGGCAAGATGTTCGCGAACACATCTGTCGTCATCTATCAATGGAAACTAGCAAAGAGAAATTACATTCACAATTACAGGCATTTTGCCAGGCATTTGCAACAACAACACAAAAAAGTACAATATGAAAGTAATCTTATCTCTCTATAGCGGTTTGATCGAATCGTGTATAAATCAGAAAAAGTTTCTCATTAAAAAAAAAAAAATCAAAAAAATTGCAATCAGCAAATAAGAAAATTATATTCAACAAAAAGATGAAATATCGATAATCTATTCAACATTGAATGGAACGCGAACGTTTCTTTCCGTTTTTGTAAAAGTGCTATAGGATCTCGTCCATAGAATCTAAACACAAATGTTTATCATTGTATCTGTTGTTGCAGGTTCCTTGATTCCGGATTTGATATATCGCAACAAATGGATAAATTTGCTGAAATCAATTCATAATTTAATACTGATCAATGATATATATATATATATATATATATACATTCCATAGTCTCTGAAATTTTCTTCTTCTGTTTTGTATTGTAAATCTTTTGAGTAAATGAATAAATTAATTCCCTTTCTTCCTTCGTTAGCGGGTATAATATAAAGCGTTTTCTTTTACTTCGAGGCGAACTATTTACAATTGACTTATTAAACCGTAATATGCTGGTTAAAAAAAATCGTATAAAAATTGATTGATAAACTTCGTCACAACTGACCGGATATACATGTGTGAGAACGCATTATAACTTGTTACTTATTTATTTGTAACCCGTAGAGAAGTTCGATTGCTGATTACAATATGTATCAAGGGAAAATGAATGATCAATGCATTTACTCTGTTTATAATAATTGAAAAAAAAAAAATTGCTAGCAAATTTTCTTGTAAATCATCACAAAAATTTTTAGAACACTTTTGCTGAACACTCATAGAGACCCTGTACATAACTTGATAATAACTTAAAAAATAAAAAATAAAAAAAAAACAAAGAAAGAAAGAAAGAAAAAAAAAAACACTTATGGATTGTCTAGGATAATATTTTGATTCTGCTCAAATTTATCTATATATCTATTAGTTATTATATATATATTATTCATCTATCGACGATTATGTCGTCCCCTTAGAAACAATGTTGAAACAATGCATCCTTTAGGTTTGATGCACTCTATAATTCGGATAAGGAGGATTCGTTGCAAAATGAGAACAAAAACCCTATGAAGCAAAAATCTACATTTCTTGGTTGATTATTTGTGTGAATGTGTATGTCTGAATGAATTATGTATGTACACGACATATTTTGTGAATAATTGTGAATTGAAGGTAATGTGCAATAAATTGTTTTTGTGTGGGTGAGTGAGGAATAATTTAAAAATATATATATTAAAAATATAAAAAAACCAAAAAGTCAATAAACGAATGAGTTTAGCTGCACTTTGTGAACAATTGAAAATTTTGCAAAGTTTGTTGCTTTTTTTTTTTGGGCGTTTTAACCATAACAACGTTGTTTTTGTAGGATTTTTTTTTCCTTAGTAGTGCGTGTCATTGGGATAAACTTACAGTAAGGCTTACGGGTTTTTTTGCGTAGACAGGAGGCCACATAGCTTTCAAGTTCCCGCAGCGTCGATGGTTTGAGGGTTTCAAAATCAATTTCGATTTCATCCGGATTCGAATCCCGCAATGATGGTTCACGATTTTGTATAATATGTACAACACGACCAAGTTTATCGCCTAAAAAGAAAGCAATAATAATAAAAGAAAAAAAAAAAAAGGAAAAGAAAGGGAATTAAAAACAAAGAAACCAAAGAAAAAGTTCTTGGAGTATTAAGTCCATTGACAGAATAAAAATGTTTACTTAAAGAAAAACCTTACCCGGTAGTTTATTTATATCCAACGAAAGCTGTCGTTTCTCATCATACGACATAGGCTTCGCCATATCTTCTTCTTCGGAATCAAAGACCATTGTTTGACTGCTCGGTTTTTTCTTGTTAGGTCCTCGCGTTCCTGCACCGGAACCAGTGCCACCTGGTCCGGCTGATCCAGTGCTACCTTTAGTACGTTTTGTAGCACCTGTCGCACCCCCTGCGCTGCCAGATCCTACTGCGCTGGCTGCATTACCCCCTTTCGGACCGCGTTGACCTTTCACTTTAGCACCTTTACCAGCCGTGGCGCCAGTTGTGCCTGACATACCAGGTGCCATTGCTGCATTTTTACCAGCTCCTGCTGCCATTTGATGACCCATAGTCATGGCTGTAGCCATGTCGTGACCTTGTAAATTGCCAGCTACACCGGCAGCAATACCGGCTCCGCCAGCTCCCAACACACCGGCGCTGGCTGCCGGCACCATTCCAGCTGTTCCCATCGCACCACCAGTCGCCGCCTTTTTCTTCTCTTTCATCTTTTTCTTGGCTTTCTTTTTATTGGAGGCCTCCTCCATAAGTTTACGCATTTCCTCTTGTAAATCTAACAGTTTGGCCTCAAGCATTTTCAATTTAGCGTTACGTTCTTCGTCCGAATTCGATTCGTTCTCACTATCCGATGATTCGTCCGAGGACGAATCGGAAGCATCGTGTTTTCCATAGCCGTGATGCGCCGCCGCTGCAGCCGCAGCTGCATGAGCATTCGCCACTGGTTCGTCGGGTATATTGGCGTAACGCATTTCGAAGACATCTTGCAATTTACGTCCCATTGCAACAACATCATGATCTGGCGGGTTATATTTATAGCAATTGGTGAATATTAACCGTACATCGGCAGCAAATTCAGGTGCGCTCTTATATTCACGATTGTCCATTTTTCTTTTCACGGTACCCAAATCCATGGGTTTCTTGATAATATCGTGATAATCATGGAGGCCCAACAATTCAGCATCGACCGGCTTATAGAACGGCCAGGCATAGCCTGAATGTTTTTTAGAAAAGAGTTCTTTAAGGATTTCATTGCAGGATTTGAGAGCATCAGAGAGCTTCTCTTTTGATTTAGCTGATCCAGGTACCCCAGCACCACCAGCTACACCGGGCACACCGCCAACACTTAACGGTGACATAGGATAACCAGTACCAAGGTCCTAAAGAAGAGGCGGAACAAAAGGAAAAAGGTATACCAACTAATAGTTATACAAAATCAGCATATATTTGTGATTATGAAAAATGTGAGGTGGCAGTGTTTGGTTGTAGCGTGATGGTGGAAAACATAAAGCGTACAAATGATAGAAATGACAAAATACAAGTTACTAATTAAGATAAAATGAGATGAGGTAGCAAGAAGCAATGAAATTGTGGAAATGCACTTAAATATTACAGGTACACGTACAAAATCACGCCCCAACACTTTTGCCTACCTACCTTTTTGCCTACCTGTCGATTGGACTCACGTCGCGTTGCTATCTTTGCACTCTTGGAATCGATTTGCGCGTACGGTGATTCAAATGCATTCGCTGTAGGTGTCGTAGTGTCTGCCTTTCTTTTCACGCCTTTCTTCACTTTAGCCGGCTGTGGAGGCGGTATTACAGCGTCTACCCCGGCCGCTGTACTATTCACATGATACGCAGGTACGGCTGCTGCCGAAGCGGCTATCGCCGTAGGATTACCAGGCCCAGCCACGCTGCTTTCTAGAAGCGTTGAATTGATGCCAGTCGTTCCTGCCGCTGTTCCTCCTACAGTACCGGATGTTATACCAGCAGCGGCCGCAGCAGCTGCAGCTGCCGCTGCTTGCGAACCGACCAAGGAGCCATGCGTCGCCACACCACCCGGCGGTAATATACCTGCAGTGGTGGCCGGCAGTAAGGTACCCGGTTGTGCTGCAGCGGCTAACGCTGTTGTCGTCGTATTCGTGCTGCCGGGCACTGACAGAGGCGGTACCGTTGCAATAGGAGGTATACCAGGTGTAGAACCAGGCGTACCCCCTGATGACGATACCGTACCGCCCAAAGCGGACAATGGCCTATTGGAGGCGGCAGCCGCAGCCACTGCTACTACAGCTGCTGTACCACGGCCAGCCCCTCCCGCTGCATTCGCTCCTAACAGGGCAGCATTTGCAGTGGCCGATGGCTTTACAGAAGCTCGAGGCTTTTTTTTACTACCGCCTTTCGGTGCTACTGGCTCTAATTCAATTTCCTCTTTAGGCATACCTTCTAGCTTTTGTAAAAACACTTTCTCCAGCGTCTGAGCCATAACAACCACATCCTCACCAGGTTTATTGTACACGTAGCAATTGGAGAACATTATATTGAAATCTTGTATGGCTTCCTTGGCCGACCAATAGTAATTATTCTCCAAACGCTTCTTAATAGTACCCATATCCATAGGTTGTTTAATGATCTTATGATAATCAGGCAGGTTAAGTTTTTTGGCATCGACCGGCTGCTGGAATGGCCATGAAAAGTGATGCTTCCAAATGGCTTTCATCACCGTCTTAATCAGATATTGTAACTGATTGGTATTGCGACCGGGTCGATCGGGCGGCGGTACAGTCGGTGGCTGTACAATGCCGTTAACCGGCTCTACGTACGGTTCATTGCGTGGCGGTGGTTCTTGAGACATTTTGTAATTATTATTGTGATAGTGATGATGATGGCGTTAAATCTGCTCAATAAGGCGGCTGCAGTGTAAAAATGTTGTGGTAGTAAATAGTAAAGTGTGTGAAAAAGTTGGTCGATTGGTTAGTTGGTTGGATGTTTCACTAAAATATACAATAACTTCCTAATATTTACAGAACCAACGACCACAAGACATATATGACGGCGAATGTGTTTTAATTGGTTGGAGGCGATGGAAGGAGTTCAAACTATATAAGGGAGGAACCTGTTTATTCTTTTTTTTTTTATGTTTTACTCGCACTCTCTTAGCGTTTACGGCTTTACTTTTTTGTTTTTCTTTACTTTTATTTATTTATTTATTTAACCTCTTTGTGGAGGATGTAATTTATTATTAATTTCTGTTTATGTATTTATATTTTTTTAATGTCTTTAAAACACTTTCTTTGTATTTTTAAACAGGAGAGAACATTCGGAGATCTTTTATAATTAAAACAAAAAATAACTGTCTCTCTTTCTTTCCTTCTTTCTCTTTTTCTTTCTTTCTTTCTTTCTCTCTTCTCTTCTCTCTTCTCTTCTCTTCTCTTCTCTCTCTCTCTCTCTCTCTCTCTCTCAGTTAAACTCCCTCACGGTTTAATGTTGCCTCATGCTTTCCCATTACTTCTCCTACTATCTCTTGTATCTTGATCTAGCTCTTGCTCTGGTTCTCCGAATTGTTATTTCCTTTCTCCTTTAGGCAAAACAATAATCAAACAAAAAAAAATATTTGACGAACGCTCAATATATGAGTTTCTGTTAAAACTTAAACAAAAAATTTCCAATTTCGTTTATTTTTTGTTTAAAAATTTATTAAAAAAAAAAAAAAAAAAAAAAAAAAACAAACAAAAAAAGTAGAAACGCAGGAAATGGTTTTGTATGTTTAGGTGAATAATGTGGTTGTCGATTGTTCTTCGAGAGAGGGGTTGAATGAATTTCAAATCCTTTTTTGTAGTCTAGAATTATGATAATACAGTAGTTTATATATAACGCTCAACATATCCGTTACGCTCATTAACAAAATATGTCCCTGTCGCTGTTGATAATTTTGCTGTTGTAGTTGTTGTTGCTTTTGTTGTATTATATGCTGCGCTACTAATGCTACTACTGTTGCTGTCGTTGTTGCCGTTGCTGCTATTGCTGTTGTTGACTGCATTTTATGGCAAAGGTAACTAAAATAGAGAGGCATATATAAGCGTAATTAGAAGAAAAACCCAAAAATTGTTATTGTAATGCACTCCGCTCTCTCTTATTACACTGATAATCATACTTACCATTACATTTACAACAATTGAAATTTAAAGTCAGCTTGAAATTTCAGACATTTTTGTTGTGTTGGTTTTCTTTCTAAGTTCGCAAACTTTGTCCACAAAACGAACTCCTCTTCCCTCTTTTATTATCAGGATCTTTATTTATTTTTTATTTAATCTACTTTTTTATTAATGTGTTTTAATATTTATAAAATTTTATTATATTAACGACGCTTTTTTTATTTTCTGAGAAACATTCACTTAGGAGACTTCGTTTGTAAAAAAGATAAATTTGATATTTTAATAAGCGCTGAAACTGTAAAGATATCAAAATAGAATTAGATTAGTATTAAAAAAAGATAATGAAATTAATTAAGTTCAGGAATACTATTATCAAAAGAAAGAAAGTATCGATTTACCGAACGAAATTCTGGATACCCAACATCCAAAAAACACTTCATTTACAGTCCATGGAAAGTGTCATCTTAAGTTTTAAAAAATATTCCAACTAAATTATTTCACATCGGTATTGTTGGGGATGAATATCTTTCTTCTTGTTTTCCCATTTTTTTTTTTTTTTTTTTTTGCCTTCATATAGTATACTACCAAAAGGTTCACCCTCCATAAATATATGATTTATTTAAAAAAATTAAAAATTTGTGGACCAAAAATGTTAAGCGAAAATCTCCCTAAAAGAAGAGCAAACACTAGCGAATGGCAACTTTTTTTAAGTAATTCAGTTCGGTCACTAACTGTATGACACATTAGGCCGCCTTGAAATCACTTGCCGGAAGCCGAACCAATCGATCGTCCTTATAACGATTCTTTAAGATTGCTTCAATTTCTAAAGAAAATACATAATCGATAAAAGTCACCATCGCAGCACTTTCGCTTTAAGCCATAATGTTGACCCACACTAGAGTCAGGACCACCGTTATATTAATTATATTAATATTATAACCACAGTAAATTCTCGCTACTGCACATAGGGTGTGCTATTCCAAATTGCAATGTTAAGAGACATCACAATAAATATTGTATCTCATAATCTGAAATGCTGTGCCTCCAAAAAAAAAAAAATAGCTCAAGTGAAGCTTGTATGGAAACAATTGACGAAACGGAAAGAACATTTCTGTAAAGACTTTCAACTCTCTCCATCTCCATACTGTTCTCCAATTAATTGACTTATGAAACGCATTTCGAAAGGATTTTCTCCCACAACAACATTTAACGACTGGGAAAACGGACTATAACTTTCACGACTGTCTGCCGCCCAATTTATCGATTATCGAGAAGCTAATGTTTACAAAGATGAGGTGGATAACCAAAACTTGGCACTCGTATTCTTCACTGATGAATTAAAAAATACACGGGGTTCGTATGGCCTATTTGACTTATTAAGATATAGGCCCTTATATCACTCATCTATCACTCTTGAAATCTCTTATATAATATATTCAAAAAGGCAAAATCTCTCACAACGTCAACAAAGGTCATTATAATTACAGAAGCACTACTCCTAAAGAAAACGAAAAAGAGTACCGAAGCGGACGAGTTCGACATTTGGACACAACCATTCAAAATAATCGTTGCTAAGCAGTAACAACAAAAATATTCCGATTATAATAGAATAACAAGTGTTCAAGGCCTTTTTTTTTTTTTATTCAAAAATAAACAAGCGGGCCGAAAGAAGCAGTGTAAGTAATCTAAGACTAGTGTAGCAAAGATGTCGAAGAATAAGGATAAAAGTTTACGTTTTGGTGGGAAATACGAAGATGTAGGACCAAGTTAACGTTCTATTGTAAAATATGGAAACTATCTTCTGCAAATATTCTTCCTCTATACGATTGATACTTTATGTCTTCAAGAACAAATAATGAAATACCATTCATGCATATGCATGTACAGCTACGTAAACTATTTGAAATGGCTTAGAGTTGAAAGAGCTCGTAAGTGCTATAGCTTTGCATAAATAAATACACAGCAAGATATATATAATACATATATATATATGTATGAAACTTTCTCTTTTTTTCACTCGTCAACAAATTGAATTCAACTGCATATTTATGTAAAATAAATAAAATATATATACAAGTATATATATATATATATATATATATATATATATAAATTAATAAAGCTAAACTCAAGCCACAAATTATTGAACACCATATAGTCCGTAACCAGTTTATATCGTTTAGCATTAAAGGGGGGAAAAACGATGCATTCTATATGGTGGTCGACGTTAGTCTCCAACTTCCTTTTAAATACTTTTCTAAACATAATACATTCTATTTAAGAAAAAAAAAATCAAGAATTATTTTTTCTCAAATCATTTATAGCTTTCGCTTCTATCTTTTAAATTATTTGGAAGATATTTTTGAAATGTTTACACGCACTGAAAGTTTTCTCTTATTTTCTCTCGCTCTCTCTCTCTCTCTCTTCCTCGGTGGGTTAAACCATACAGTAAATATAAATGTTGTCAGAAACAATTTTTTTTCACTCTGCTCAATCAACACAATTGCGTTAACATTTTCCTATATAGTTATCTCTTTCTATTGTTAAGACACAAATTAGAAGCTTAGTTAACATTACAGAAAGAGAGGGAGAGTAAGTAATAAATCAAACGAGATAGAGCAACCGCAAGCAGATATTCGCATGCTCACGCACATATATACAGGCTTATGCACTCAATTAGTACAGTAAGACATGTAAGCAAAGAAACTCACTCGGCAATGTTCGTCATTTTTTTTTTTTTTTCATTGTATCTCCGTTGCTATATTTTCCATTTATTGTCTATTTTGTATTCTTTTGTTTATAAAGCTTTTTTGCTGTGTATTCTTGTAATTTTTGTACTGTACACAAACTAGCGCACACACATTGAAAACGGTGGCCGAAAAGCCAGCTATCAGAAAGTCAAACCGCTAGCTACCCACGACAACAGCAACATTGAAAGAAGCAAAAATCAAGGCAATATAGCTGGCCACATACATATATACATATATATATATATATATATGTATAGAGGGGATACATATACACATCTTTATCTATTCGCACACAACAAATTTAACGAAATATTACAAGCGAATGAAAAACACCACTTTTTTCCTCCTCTCTTTTTTTCCTATGTGCACTCAATACCAATATTGCTGCTGCTTCTTGTTGTTCCTCCTTTAGATTGCTCTTTTTGTATTTAATAAAATTTTCAAAGCATTTTTTCCTTTTTGTTTTTCAATAAATAAAAATCCACTTTTTATACTTTTTCTTCTTTTTACTTTCTATATAAAATTTCATTAAACATTTATAACCGTAATCTTAAGTAAGCAATTCCCCAAAAAACTTTTGTTGAAATTTTTCAATTATTATAACAAATTTTCAATTCAAAGATTAGAAATTCCTTACACCACACACACGGCAGCAACAACGAACATTGGACGTGATGTAGTAAAAAGACAAGAGAAAAAAATTTAATTGAGAAAAGCAATACAAATTCTTTGACATACATGTACGTATGACGAATAAACGAGAGGAAGTAGTTGTCTGTTTAAATATTTCTTATAAATAGATATGTCTATCTCCGTTTAACTTGAAGCTAACAATGGAAAAAGGTACTGTTTTGAAAATGGCGGTAGAATATACATACATATATACCATCTAGTACAATAGCGCGCAGATTTTAGCAAACGAAAAAAGTACTAAAATTAATTAAAAATATTAAAAAGAGATAGCAAATGTTAAGGCCTGGTGCCGGAGAATTGATTGCAGATGAATTCAGAGTTGCAATTTATGGGTCAAATAAATAGTAAAAATATCCTAAACGAAAATGTGATATGAGAAAGCAAGAGAAATTCAGGAAAACAAAAGAGGATAATAAACAAGTTAGTGTTTCTTCCTTATTACTATTACTATTATTGTTTACATAGATTATTTGTTTATTTTTTATATTACATTTGCGCTATCTACGTGATGCAATAAACTTAAATTATTATTGTACTGCAATAGCAAGTTGATTGAAAACACGTTGGGCTAATTCAATAGGATATTCGAATGAAAAATAAATGCTTCCTACTAATTAATCAATTAAGTATAAATGGGAAAACTTTTTATAGTAAATATAACAATGATAGAGTAAAAATGTGAAAATTTCAGAAATATTTAATTTTCAGATCAATATTCGATTATTTCTTCAACATATATCTACTATACACTTCTTGGTCCTTGATTTTATCTTAAATATTTTCTGAACTATCCAAAAGCAATTAAAAAGTGGAAAATGATGAAATGAAATAAGAATGAGTAATAACCAGAGCTTGTGCTTAAATAAAGTAATATAAGACATTTAGCTACGACTAAACGTAAACAACGTAGAGATTCCTCAATTTGATGATTCCCTTAAAAAGCAAAGAATACTTCCCGTAACTACTTTGGGTTTTCGTCATAAAGGCAAACCAGAACTTAGATCAAGAATTAGCCCATTTTACTTATTATTGAACTTAAAGTGATAAATAGGAAGATAATTTTTTTGATTAGGTTGATCTATCCTGCCGTTTAAAAACGTCAACGAATTCAAAGTTTAAACTAAAACACAACTTGATCCAAGTTAAATGGGTTTCAAAGTCAAACTAACCGAATTTTGGTTAATTTAAAAGTTTTGTCAAACACATTCATAAAATAAATACAGCAACAACAAAATAAACATTTTCGTGGAATTGTCATCTTGGTGTAAATCATTGCATTTAAATTGTAATAATGTAGCAGTCTCGGCCAAATCTTTTATTTTATCTGCATTTCAATTACAATAGTCCTTTAGTGTAAAAAAAAGCGAAATTCTGCTTCTTTTTTCTCCAAATTTAAAAAGATTTATTAGTTCCGATTTTAGTTCCAAGGTGCACTTTTCGACATGGACTTATATTCTATTTAAAAAACATTAGATTGATTGAAACAAATACGAAAGTAAGGTGCAATTAAGCAAGGAACACAAGGAAGTCTTTAATATTTCCTTTGCTGAAATTCATGTCCAGTTAACATGACATATACTGTTAAGTTAGGCTTATTGTAGCCGTACGTTCACCAGACTACAGAGAAGAGATAGAAATTACAAAAAAAAATCTGCGATATATAACGTAAGTAGGAAAATACAGATCACGCACGAAAAAAAAACTTAATTTTCTCTTGTTAACTTTAATATTAAAACAAAAAAAATAAATAAAAACAAAAAGAAAAAAAAACACAATATATTGTCATATAGAAATGGTCGTTTTTTCAAAATTAACGAATGCTTGAACATTAAGAATAGCGTAACTTGACAGCACTTCACTAACGTATACTCGCCGCAGCATGTATACCAAAGCGAATACACACATGTATACTTGATAACTGTATGGAATGGATTTTACACAAACGGAACAAAGAGAGATATCTCTAATTAAAGGTTTTTCACTTACTGTGAAAAAACCTGTAGACTCAATTTAGCTAACTATTTTGATAATGAAAGACTTTAGATTTCATTCAACTTCATAGATACAATTTTTGAATGATAAGATAAATGCCGATTTTAAATTTATCTAGTTAGGGCTTAATTTTGATCAGCTTCGCACTAATCTTAAGAAATCAGCGGAAAGCAATCTTAGCACAAGACAGAAACATTTCGGCTATTCATGATAACTCAGGGTTCCAATACTGATTGCTATGCGCCAAAAAAATTTAATACCAAATTAATCTTATATAAGAATAATAACATAATATCCAATGCAGTGCGGCACCTGTTAAAATATTCTTTACTGTATTTCCTAAAAGAGAAAAAAACCTCGCCAAGAATATATTGTCATTATAAATGGCATATTTTTAAGTGAAGTGTTTATGTTGTATTGTGTTAGATCATTTAAAAACCGCTTCGCCCCGCTCAGTAAAAGGATTCATACTTTTTTTTATTAACACTACGAAGTAGCTATGGAAAAAATGTCCTACACAGAGGGATATAACCTGCAAGATATACTCATTTTAATATTTACTGAAAAATAAAATATGTCAAAAAGAAGTCCTAACCTGTTCCCTTTGCAAGATAAAACTGCTCCGAGATTAAGTACTTCAATTTTTACTCAAACTTGGATTGTGGCTCGTCGGTGGTCAAACTATGCTCAAAAACATTGCAGATCCTTAACATTTGAGCTTGTGACCTCTAGAGCAAAGCCACAAAAGTATATTCAGCATGTTACCGTTTAACCCAATAATGTGCAAATATAACAAAAAGGGAAATATTTTCAGAAGGAAAAAACGAATATGATTTTTTGATGATTGATAATTACCATTTAAATAGTTATTCAATAATATCCTTTTTTATTTTTGTATTATGCTTTTTTTCTTTTTGTTAGTAAATTCCCTTAATGTTGTTGTTAAAGTTGTTCAATTTGATGATGTCCTCGTTACGATGGAATATATAATACTATTGAATTGCTTTCGTATATATTATTAAAAACGCATTTATAGTTCATTTAAAAATTTTCTTAATTCCATAATTTTGTAATTTTTGCTTTGTTTCTCTGCTCTTTTTATATTAAACACATCACACTGTTGTGCATATTTGTATTTATACACACATCACACTCTAGAGAAGATGCAGAATGAATGCATTTTGATACAAATTTAGGGAATTGAATAACGTTTTTGTGTTGTATGTGCGTTTTGATTTTTTTTCACTTGCTCCTGGACTTCTAATCAATTTGATTTTTCATATTAGCGTTTGCCGCTGTTATTATTTTCATTGTTGTTATTTACCCGTTTTGAATTTTCAGGCACACTTGTTTGTAAACGACAAACAAAAGAATTCTGAGAAAATCAAAGCAAAGAATTTATTTAATAGGAATATATATATATATATGTATATATATATACATTAATATATGTATATATATATAGTTAAAGCATATATATAAAACATGAATTCACGTATTTAATAATTGAACCGCTACGGCGACTCCGGGGCAACCGAGGCAACACAGACACAAAAATCATCTCATCATATATGTATGAATTGACAACTACTACAATATGCAGATATAACATGTGCATACGTATATGTGTACACATAAAACGACATCGCCTTTGAAAATTCGTTACAAGCACACTCACTCACTCATCAGCACAAACGTTTATACACACGTAAATATACACGCGACGACAGTATCGCTTGCTGTGAATAGTGAAAATTTTTTCTTTCGATATTTCCACAGTTTTTTTCTGACTTTCGTTATTGCTATAATATCTTCTTCTTTTACCAACTCATTTCTGACCATTCGTCATTTCGTTTTTTCGATGTACTCAGTTTTTTGCATGTTCGTTCGCATAGATTCCCTGTATGCTATTGTTGCCCAGCGGAGTCTCAATTTTTTTTCATATCATTTTTTTGTTATCATAAATCGCGGCATTCATAAAATTTCACATAAATTACATTAAACATGCTTTAAACTTTAAGTTTTTTATAAAATCCGCTTTATTTAAGTATTTAAAGTCACAATTTTCTGAAGAATTTTCCACACAATAAACGCGCACCCGACCGAAGAACGCGGGTTTCCGTCAAATATACAATTTTCGAAATTACTCAAAACGAGAGCTTTAATATCTTCTCATGTTTTTTGTGTTCAAATAACGCTCTCACTTGCTCTATAGCCCTTAACCGTTGCTACTTCATGAGAGAGAAAGAGACAACAGCACGGTACAGAATACACACCAAAGTGCATTAGTACACTAGAGTACATCTTTGTACTAAAGAAAAAATAAGAGAAATAAAGAAAAAATGGTACAAAATGGCTGTCAATGTTATAGAGAGTGGAAAATCGAAAAATCATACAAAAAAAGTTAGAAGCGAATCTTTAATTAATACTTTTGAAAGCAATTATATTTAATGAAAAAATATATTTTAAGGCATGCATCAGCAATAAGTTTTCGTCAAAACTTTCTAAGCATATCATTAACACCGAGGCTTTCTGTTATCAAGGCGTTTTTCTTAATTCTTTTGTGGTATTCCTTTGCTGTGTATCAGATATATACAGCCACCATTTTTTTAATTTGCGTTTAGCAATTTCATCACATTTTTTAAGCATTACACTTATGTATTTCATAAGGTTTTGATATATTTACATTTCATAACAGCAAACACTTTTGTTTTTAAACATATTATTCGACATATGGAAGTTTTTTTTTTTAAAAACTTTTTATATTTTAAGCGACTCCTCGATGATAAAATGTGAATTTTTCAATCTCCTTTTTCTCTGGGTAATCCACCATTTTCGAACATGAAAATATATTATAATATTGTTATTGTATGTGTATTAAGCGGGATTGCCACATCTAAGGATGAAAATATCCCAATGAAATACAAATTTACTGTAGAGTTTGAGAAAACAAATCAATTATCCCAAAGTTATCTCATTAACTAGATACAAAATAAATTTCATCTAACTGTTGCATACCTAACCTTATTTATTCATATATTTTGAAAATGTTTATAATTTGGGATTAACTTGAGAAAAAAAAAAAAATAAATAAATAAATAAAGTGTTGCCGGATGTTAATTAAAAAAAAATTGTGAAGTAATATTTTATCATTGTTTTTTTTATAATTTAGATACGTTCCTTTCAGGGGGAGTACGTAACATTAAATTGAATGCTTACATTCAACACGAAAACACTAAACATTTATAAAAACTACTTGAAGAAATCTTAAATTAAGCAAATACTTATGAAGTAAAATGATTGAGGTTTGAAACAATATGCCCCCTTAATTAAAAAAAGGTCTAAGAATTAATTTGTGTATATTTATAATAGCTTGCGCTTTTATTATTGTAAACAAAATTTTGTGGGTGGGAATTTTGTGAAATATATTTTCATATAAAAATACTTTTATAAATAGGGGAAATTGTAATAAATAGGAGAAATCATAAATAGCAACAAAACTTATCGAACTAGTTTATAAATAACCTCACAGGTCCTTTAGGGTAGTGCATAAATTGTTTTGAATACTGAATACTTTTCACTATTTTTTTTTAGAGATATATACATTAAACTTGCATTGGCATACTTCAATTGAATGTATAACGAAAACCGGCAAAGCTGCTCCATGTGTTAAACATTAAATAATTTAGGAAGTTTACCCTGGTTGAATGCATGCTTTTCAGTTCTAAAATTTATTTAATTATATTTTTTAAAATGGAAAAATTTGAAAAATATGTATTCAATGCAAATTAAATTATTATTATAAATAAACTAAACTTAATCAGTTGTTACTATTCGTATTTAAGTTCTAGTTATAGTGACAGGTTGTAAATTACGTCCTCATGACATATGACAGTAGTCCAAAATTTGCCATTTTTTGCTATGATTTTATATTTATTTATTTTTATTCGTATTATTTTAATAATTTTCCTAAAGGTATTTGTCTCTTTACATAAGATGCATTTCTACTTAACATAATAGAGAAGAGGAAATATTTTATTTTGTTTTATGATTAAATTCCATTCCGGCTTGCATTAATTGGGAATTCAGAGTTATGTAAAAGTTAGTAGCGTTAAGGTTGTTTATTTTCCATCGAATTATTACGTATATGCATAACGCCATCATTAACAGGTACAAAATTTTTACAACCTCATCAAGCCATATATCATAAACTCTTTAACACAATAGTGGTTTCCTTCATTTAAATATATTGATTTAAAAATCTATTAAGCTATGTCTAAAGCTCATCCACCAGAGTTGAAAAAGTAAATCGTAAACTTGGATTTGTCAAATAAATGCGATAACACTTAATATATTTTCAGATATATGGATAAACGTATGCTATTAAAATTAAATGGCGGTCGCTCTGTGGCCGGTATTTTGCGTGGTTTTGATCCGTTCATGAATGTGGTCTTGGACGAAACGGTAGAAGAATGCAAGGATAGCACGCGCAATAATATTGGAATGGTGGTAGGAACAGAAAAAAATTGAATATTAAAGAAAATAGTAATCATGTGACGTCTTTTATAGGTTATTCGTGGCAACAGTATTGTTATGGTTGAAGCGCTGGATCGTGTGTAAAAGAAGTTTTTCGTCTTTCAAAAAGCTCAGGGTCCTTATTGAGGAGACTTGTAGAATACAATATTTTATACTTCTAATTAATAATTTATAAATAAAAGATTTACATTGTTCGTCTATTAAATCAAAATTCTTCTCTTTTTTTATCACAGATTTCTATCTCATCTCTTTAATCCTTATAAATTGGGAGTCCGCAAAACGTATTTCTATTCATGAATATAATAACATATACTTTATTAAACGAAACGGTTAATAGGTTTTTAAAGTTAGTATCGTGTCATTTTCGAGAGAAGTGAGGGTTTGGAAATTTTGCAATTTACAAAAAAAAAAAAAAAGAGACCATATCAAACTTGGTTACTTTTTCCACTAGGATGCGAATCGTGGTCGTAGAAACTACTTAATTAAAGTGTATGTCAGAAGAAAGCTCGTTTTTTCCATTCTTTATATTCGTGATCCAAATTAAATGAAGTTAGTCAAGATCTGCTTAGAAAAGCATATTTGACAAAAATTCAAACCAGATCATACATCATGGAAGAATATGTAGACATTGTATAACCTACCATGTTTACTTGAATCATTCACTCATTTAGCTTCTAGTTTGTGTTTGTGTCTAATATAAATGAATTTACACTTATTTATCCCATTTTGGTAGTAATATTTCTGCAGTCCTTGCACAGCTGATTTCCCTTGCGAATATTACACGACGATTATCTCCAATGTCCAAACGATTATTAAATCCTAGTTTGTTACATAATAAATTTATTTTACTATTTAACCCCGGTGATCATGCTTTATGAAGAATTTTTGTCAATATATTACGCATCCATCATCAACACCTTGAATAATTAGTAGCTAAATATATTTAAAAAACACATTTTTATTATCATAAACTTAGCATCCGTTTCTTTTTATTTAGAAATGACCAAAGGTCCACATTGTTTTGCGGACTCTCGTTGTTTAGCTACTATTTGGTTAGCAATACGATCTAAATCACGTTGTCCAATTGGTGTCAATTTGCGACCACCATCAGGATGTTTCTCGATAAGTCGAGCATGTTCTAGGGCCTGTAATGCTTTGCGAGCGGCGCCATCAGCAGCACGACAAAAATGCGACGGATGTACCCCATTACGTTTGCGGCCACCATAAATTTTTGTAATTGAACCAACGCCAGCAGGGCTACGGTGGTATAAATGCCTCAAAATTGAAGCGCAACGTATGTAAAACCAATCGGGATCATAAGGCGCCAATTCTTTGTATTTGGCCGTTTTAATAATATCCATTTGATCGGGGACTTTCAATTTACCCGTCCTACGAAAAAAGCAAATTAAAAAAAAAAATTTTAGCAGTAATATATCAATTACATACTTCTTCAGAAAGACCGCTACTGCTTTAACAACCGCATGTTGGTCGATATCTTTTACAGTAACACCGGGCATCTAGAAAATACAAAAGGAATATATAGATTAATGGAATGCATCTACATTTTTTTCAATTGAATTGCAAATTCCTTTGACAGGATTCTATGAATAGAATTTGTGAAGAACGGTTGCAAACTTATCATACAATTCATTCATATTCTATTTATGCATAAGTTTAGCTACAAATCTTCCAAATTCCAATTATTTTTTATACGAATCACAAAAATCACACCTTGCTTATTACAGAGAACAGGAAGAAAAGACACGTACACTTAAGTTAGCTGCGTTTGAAACTTAACAGCTGTTAGGGAGATAACACAATGAAACTGTGCTCGCTTATCAAGCATATCTGACTGCAAATGCTTAAATTTCTGAACACACTGAAGTCATGCTTCACGTAAAGCTTTCCTTATTGAATCCTTTTAGAATATTTAGAATATATACATCCAGTACTAAGGATATGGAATCTTCCGGTTCACAAGATGCGGAGAGGTGTGTGTGAAAATCAAAAATCTGAAAACGATTATTAATTAAGAGCATGTTGAATATTTCCCAACAAGAAACTTTGTCCATATATAAATGTTTCTTTCACAGATTTGTTATATCAAAAATTTATTTAATCCAATAAAGCAAAGTCTTTTAAAAAAACGTTGTACAAAATTTTTCACTGTTCGTCGATTCTTCTTTTATTCAACACCTGAAATTTTGAAAGTCCAAAATTTTTATTGCCTATTTTCATAAACTACTCAAGCTTAATGACTTCTGAACATTACTCTTCACAACAGTAATAACACAATGTGAAAAATAACTTTCAATCTGAATTTTGACAAATAATTTTAAAATTTAAAATAGATCATCTGTACTTCTGCTTTTTCTGTTTGTTTTACTTACTTATTTTCATATAAGGTTGATCCCTATGATTTCACCTAAGAAGTGCATCCTTTTATGCCTAACTTGCTAATACGATTTTGGAGTGATCGCTTTTATTGTTCTCAGTGTATTCAACTTTAATTCCCACGCTTCATTAGCAAACGCTGCTGTTTGGTTATCCGGGCTAATAAATCCCAACAATTAAGTTCAATGACAAACTGCGTTACCATATTATTTTTATAAGAAAATCGATTTTTTTCGGGCTAAAAGCTCCCACCAATAACAAAAGCGATATTTTGGGACTTTTGCCGACGGCTTTGCAATTAACATAAAGTATTACGTTCTTTCTGTAAATTAGCATAGACTATTATGTTTTTTCTGTAAATAGCATAGAGTATTACGTTTTTTCTGTAAATAGCATAGAGCAGAATGCAGCGCTGCATTTAGCGAGTGTTCTACACCCTAGCTGCAGCGCTGCACTTAGCAATTGTGCTACATCCATATCGCATATCGCAGATAGCGATTGTGCTGCATCCTAGCTGCAGCGCTGCACATAGCT